AGACAAATTCACTTTTATCAAGAGAGCGCGGGATGCACCACCGCCGACTATATGTATTATATATCAACGTGACGATCAACTAATTATCAAAACCCGGCCCAAATCGTGTCAACATTAATCGTGGAAACGGTCCCCGATGCCGAGCTAACAGCCTACGTAAAACGAACTTGATTTACAATTTATAAACACAAATGTAACGTTGAATTAGCTAAATTATTTTATCGCCCGCCGCAAATTCCATTTTATTATCGCTTTTCGTTTTCACGGCGACCACCGCCGATGCGACGAAAAATCGAACAATCATATTTTCCAATCGTATTTAAATCTCTCGTTCAACGGAGAAATTTCTAGCTATTCGAAGGAAGGAAGAACAATGAGAACGCGTGATACGAATGGAGGGGAGGAGGAGGGAAAAAGGATGAACTGTAAAGAAAAGAATACGGCAGAAGGATAGGAAACATTTCCGGGAGTAATTTTCCACTGGGTGGCGTCAAGAAATGTTTATTCATAAGTTACTAGAACGTGCACGATGTACGATTGTCCCGCGACATTTTACATGGCCGTCGTTCCCGGCACCACCACCACCACCACCATCACCATTCACAGTTTGCCTGTTTGCTCTCTTCCACTTTTTTTTTCACGTACAGATGCGAAAATGCGCCGACACGTGTATACACGTACAATGTGGGCAAAAATTCAGGCGATGATGCATTCACGTTCTGGAAATGGATCGAAGTCGAAAAAGAAAGAGAGAGAGAGAGAGAGAGAGAGAGAGAGAAATAATAATAATAATAATAATAATAATAACGAAGAAATACTTTTTCGCGTTATGTCGTGGAAAATGGAAAACTCGAGCCTTCTCCAATCTCGAATCGTAACACCAGTTGCAAATGGAACGAAATAACACACGTTTTCCATAACAGTCTTTTGTCGATTAGAGAATTACTGGGTAAATCTGGATTATAAATTCGCAATTCCGGATAATCGGATCGGAGAGCGTTGTATATATCCCGCAACGCAAAATACGAATGGAGAAAATCTTTCGTAAACGTTTATCGGATGACACGTGTAAATATCGGTGGAGGACGCCTTTCCAGGCAACGCTTTTCCACGTCTGGTCCCAACCGAGAACAAAGCTTCGCCTCCACGGTAATATTTCTGCGAGGTGATCTCTCGGTAAAACGGTGCAGTTGCCGAGTTTAGTTACACTCGGGATATAAATAAGAAAAAAAAAAAAAACAAGAAGAAGAAGAGGAAGAAGAAGAAGAAGAAAAGGAAGAAAAAGAGAAAGAAAGAAAAAGGGATGGTATTACACGGTGGATTCGATATCCCCGGTTGAATCGTTCGTTAGCCGTTTTCTTATTTCCTGCTTTCTTTTCGCTCCTTTTTTCGCTTTCTTTTCTCCTTGATTCGAGTCCTCCTCGGCAAGTCCTAGTTGGCGCGCCACGCTTACTTCCCGGTTATTCTTATTCCGACCATCGTCTTTTGTTCGAGAAGAGGAAGGAGTAGGCAGATTTTAGAATGGGAGAATAGAAATGGCGCGGTCAGAGATACCCAGGGATTTATCATCGGGTCACGGTGCACTGGCCACGATATTAAATTAAGTTACGCGCACCTTGGAATTTTTTATTATCACCGGGGAGCAAAGGAACACGCTTTTCCCTCCGGAGATACGCCACGGTGCTCGTCTTTTTTTCATCTTTTCTCCTCGTCCTTTCCCCCTTCTTCTTCTTCTTCTTCTTCTTCTCAACGATTCCGTTGCCAAGTTACGTTGACCTGTTTATATTTTTAACTCAAAGTCTGCTGCCTCCCTTTCCCTTCCCTTTTCTTTTATTCTCGCCAACGATTCAATATGGGTTGAAATAGAAAAGAAGAAGAAGAAAGAGACGGAGGAAGAAAAATAAGCGTATCTATTTTAATTTTAATCGATAACCACGAGTGTGAAACGAAGAAGCGAAGCACGAGGAAATAAATTTGGCAAAAATACTCTTCGGAAGAAAATCATTTTCGTTTCGTGATTCGTTTCGTGATCGCGATTTTGCTTTGCGTATAATGAAAACCTGAATCGATCGATCGAGGATTTGGAAGGAACGCGCAGAAGAGGCGAAGAGGAAGAAAGTACACACGATTGGCCACTTACCAGCTCGAAAAGAGTATCACGTCGACGGCCAGGGTTTTCCCGTATTCCCGGGGGCCTTCTGCGTCCCGTTGGTCGAACGAGCAGGAAGGATCCGAAGCTTCGCGTCGAAGTGGGAAAAAGTAAAAAAGCCGGTCAGTTGGCAAGTTTCGGTCAGTTGGGCGAAGGAGCGCAAGCGTCGAAGATCTGGTCGCGGGATGTATCGATATATATTTCTCTTCTTGACTCGCGGGTTGTCGGTACCGTGCGTTCCCTGCGTTTCACGGTTTCCGATCGTGCCCCATTCGCGTACTTTCTCTCGGGCTATTTTGTATTCCAACATCCTTCCTCGTGGTTGGAGCAACGAGCACCACCGTCCCTGGGAGTACCACGCGGACAAACATCGAGCTAGAAACTGCGATACGTCGGCCAGAGTACGGCCACGGCTCACCCCGGACATCCTCTCGCGCGAGGAACGCATGCGTCGCGTTTAAACCAGCGCCGAAACTACCCTCTCTCCTCTCTCTCTCCCATCCACTTCTCCTACTTTACGCACACGTTCGACCGTACTTACTTTTCAACCGTGCGTTGAACAATTTCAAACGAAATGAAAAATTCTTATTTTCTTCGCCCCGATTTTTCATCGAGTCGAGATTCGATGAGTAAGATTCGTTTGCCCTCGGAAGAAAGTTTACACTTTCGAGGCAATTTCGTTAAACGATATCGCGGCCAAACGTTTCTCCCGAAGCGAGGAAGAGTGATTTAAAATCGCACTCGGCGCGAATTCGTACGTGTTTCGTACTCGAAACGCCGAGTCAGAGGGGATGTCGCGCTTGCGCGGTGTTGAACGGTAGGTGGCGAGGGGGTATCGTCGGGGGGTATGGGGATGAGTCAGTCAAGCCGCAGCGCGCGTTCGGAAAACTACCTTCTACGCGATCGCATAATATCGCAGCCTATTTTCTAATTTATCCTTGTGTTGTTCGCGGCAAGATTCACACGTGCTCTTCCCCTCCCCTTCCATCCTTACCTTGTCTTATCGCGAAAAGATCATTCTCGAATTAGCCCGATTCGACGGAGGATCGTGCTTCCACGATACGCGTACGATTGATTCCAAGAACGCGGCAATCTCTCTCTCTCCCTCTCTCCCTCTCCCTCTCTTTCTCTTCCAACTGTACGCGTAAAGAAGCGAACGATCGGTTTAAAATTCGACCACGAAGAAAAAGAAGAAGGAGGAGGAGAAAGAAGAAGAAGAAGAAGAAGAAGAAGAAGAGGAATCAGTGAGAGGAAAGAAGCGTTCAATTGTGAAAGTGATTCCGTTGTGCGCACGATCGCTTTGGCTCAGCCATTTTTTATACGGTGAAAAAATTTCTCAGGGAGGATCGAGGATCGATGAAAGAGAAAAGTGAGAAGGGAGGAATAATGTCGTTGAAGATATGAAACGAGGAACGAGGGAGGAAGGACGCGCGCAAAAGGACGCCGCTCCAACGAAATTCGAGATGGATAAAAGTTTCTTTTGCATACCTCGATGATCGTACGATCGTTATTATTTGCTATCCGATTCCTAGATCGAGGCGGGTAGGGTGAGAAGAGGTATCAAAAATGGTAAGCATCGTTTCTATTAAAAATTCGATACGAAAGATCGTAGAGGAGGAATTTATAACAGTTGGATGGGATGAAGAGGAGCACGATCGATCGTAAGTCGGATGGGAAAGGGGAAGAAGGATCGAAGGAATTCATCATCTGGAGGGGAAAAAAATGTAAGAGGTGCGAGTGAAAACTCGCGAGTAGTGGACGGTTTCCAGATCTGAAGCGGTGCGAAAGCTGCTCGAACGTGGTGGTCATCTTTCGAGTGGAGGGTGGTGAAAAATATGGGATGGTCGTGGAATCATCGAAAGAAAGAGTACAGGTAAAATGGTTCGGAAGTAGTCGAAATTATACGGAAAAGGGAATGCCGCAGTATCGTAAGGAAGGGGAGAAGAGAAATGTTTTCAACCTTCTTTTTCTTCTTCTTCTTCGCCTATCGCGATACACCTTGTCCACACCGTCGATATTCGTATAGTTGGGAATCGATATAAGAAGAAGGAGGGGAAGGAAGGAAGGAAGGAAGGAAGGAAGGAAGGAAGGAAGAATCGGTGGTAAAGTGGGAGACCGAGAAAGCGATGGAAGAAAAGGGAAAAGAAGTTCGTTGATCTCCGGGGAAATACGTCCGACGAGGCCAGTTTTTGGAAAGAACGCAGCGACGACGGAGGACATCGTCGTCGAGACATCGATTCTCCTGATATACGATCGAAGCGAAAGGAAATCGGGAGTTCGGGATCGATCGGCGGATATACGAAGGAAGGACAGAGAACAGAGTCGCGATGCGATCTCGTTGCATTCGAGGAACAACGAGAGTGCGATCGTTGTTAACGATGTTGGTGAAAAACTTGCCGTTTTTTTCTTTTATCGTGCGCGAGCGTGCTCGGTAAATTCGGCTTTCTACCGAGAGCGGGGAACACCGGGCCGGTAGTAAATGGCGCGTGTCGATAGTTACGTTCGATTCTCGCCGAATAAGCGTTTCCCTTGTCCGTGCTTGTCCATCAACTACGGACCAGGCATCGATAAATAGTATTTTTTTACCTACCGCCCGATCGACCAACGATCGGCGAGCGAGATCGCGAAATTCTCGACCAACGATCGCTCGGCAACGTACAGCTCGAGAACGAATTTCCCGTCCTATTTGGTTGTTCTTCCAGCTCGACAGGTTGTCATCGAGGCGCGCGCACACACACGCACACGCACACGCTCGAACGATTTCGCCTCGTCTTCGCTCGTACGAAGATCTCCAACGGCGGAACGAAGTGAAGGTGGTATGTTATGACGAGCGTGATTTGTTTTTCCATAGGTGGAACGCTGCAACGGTGGTATTAAGTGTGCAGTGATCACGGGAGACCGAGAGAAGACGGGAAAGAGGGTGGTCAATATGACTCCTATCTTCCTCGTCCTGTTGGTGGCTATCGACCCGATTATCGCGCAGAATGGTGGTGAGTAATCGACCAGAGAAATCCACTTTTTTTTTTTTTTTTTTTTCACAGACTTTTGTGGACATTTGCCGGACATTGTTCCCAACTGTTCGCGTCCAGTGTTTGATTCTCCGTGTAATAACGCGTGTCTCCTATTTGTGCAGAACTTTGAACAAAAATCGCGCGCGTGCAGAAAACGCGTGTAAACTTTCCCCGATATATTTTAACGTATCAACGATCCAAACGCATTTCGACGAGTGCGGAGAGTCGAGTGTGGAGAGAACTGTTCGATCCGCTCTTTGTTCCGATCATTTTAGAAAACGACGACTCGACTGGTCGAGAATGCTTTCGATCGTTCGATACGCGAAACGAGAGTGATTTTTCGCGAGTTGTGGTTGCTGAAAGGAACGCAAAAAACGAAAAAGAAAAAAAAAAAAATAAAAAGACGAGATCAAATGTGCGGGATCAAGCGCGAGTTTTTCTTTTCGAGATCGCGCGATTGTTTTTTCCCAAGGATTTATATACGCGCGTGAAGCGGCAACACGATCTCAAGTAATAATCACGCTGCTTTGCGAACTTCCCGAAGTTGTATCGCGGTTGAAAAGTGCTCGAGCATCCTCCTACGAAGCATCGAATGATAAAACGCGCTTCGAGTTATTCCGGGTAACGAGCGAATGGAACACGCGTGTCGTTCCAATGTATACGTGTATACAGGCACACGAACGTTTTCGATGCGTTCGATTCGTAGCGTTGGACGAATCGGTGCATGCACCGTGTGCCGTCGAGTTACGAATTTCCCAGCCGCTTTTCGCCTATACGCATATACATATATCGCGTCTCGCGGCGTCGAATCGGACGATGCACGACATTGTCGGTAAACAAACGCGTTGGGATCGTGGTTGGACAATGGATCGAAGCAAAGGAGTCTCTCGAGGATACCGATTCGCAACCACGTGGATGAAGCGAAGGGAGGAGACACGAGGACCGTTCCTAGTGGACTTTAAGACTGCGTGAATTGGACGGACACGGACGCATACGGGGAACGGCTCGTGGGCCTTAGCAACCGCTACGACCCGTTCCCGTCGTACCTTCGAGTACTGCGATCTCCACTTTCCATCGTTTTCGGCGAGAATTTCGACTCGATGACAAATCGCGCGCGACCATTGACTCGAGTTGCATGGTAATCGTGGCCATTACACGGTAATCCGTCGCCTCGATACTCGCTAATTCAGCGCCGCTTTATGCTGACTCCGAAATCACGGGATGACACATCCCCCCGTATTTCGGTCAATTAATTACGCCATAATCTATGATTCCCAAGTTGAATCGTCGATAACCCGGGGACGGGTCTAACCGAGATTCTATCTGACGGGACGCGAGAATTTCGAGACGATATGACGATAGAGATCGGTCGCGAATTTTCACCGATATCGCGCACCTCTGATCAAAGGTCGATTCGATCCGTATGGACGTTCGTCCCAACGGAGATGAATCCGAGCTTCGAACCGATCATTTTCTCCGACCAGCTTTTCGATCACCGACCAATTCAATAATTTGTCCGACGAAAGTAAAAAAAAAAAATCTCTCCCTTTCCTTTTTTTTTTTTTTTTTT